GGACATCTCATAACTAAAATTCAAGAACTCATTAGGCTTCCACAATCAGCAACAAACAAAAAATCACCTTCAAGACACGGTCATCATCAAACACGTTTGTCGAATCTGAAGCCTCTTAGTCCTTTTTCGCTTCAAGAAGTCTCTTCACTCCCGACATGTGATCCTTCTTGTGATAGTAGCAACACTCGTCTCATCTAGTACAAGATTGAGAATGATTATGCCCTTGATCATAATTACTTTCTCGCGGTTCACCTCAGACTTCACAAAGAAATTGATCACAATTCAAAATTTTAAATGCCGAGTCTCTGATAAGGCAATTGAAATCTTGCTCATGGTTAAAATAAAATTTTCAACAAGCGAAGTGGTCACAAATGTTTCATATGACTTTGCGAAGAGTACATCAAAATTGTCACCTTATCTTCATCCTCAATCTTAACATCAACATTTAACAACTATGTTAAACACTTGTTAAACTTATTCAAGTGATCCCTAACATTAGTATGGTCAAACATCCTTAATTCATATAATTGCTTATTCAGCTATGGAATGTACAAAGCAATTTCCTATAGGGGTCTTACCAACCCCTCACTGTAGGGGTCAGTCCCACATGAAAAAAAAAAACGTCAAGGCTGGCAACTGTGAGGGATTTGGCATGGATTTGTAAAACAGACCCCTGTAAGTGTAGTAGAGTTCTTGAGCTATAGTCTATTTGTTTGGGACTTAAACATATGTACCTCTTCTAAAATTTTCCATAACTTCCATGGAGATTTTCTCATTCAAAACACTAAGGGGCTGTTCTCTTTGACATTTTCGAGCCGTTTTTCGTTTTTGGTTTTCCAAAACGGTGAAAACACGTTCTCTTTCCCATTTTTGAAAATGCATTTTCGAAAACAAAAATTTTTTTTTGTGAAGAAAACACAAAACGACCAAAATGTCGTTTTGGGTGTTTTCTGTACAAAACACTTAAAAAATGAAAAACGTAGAAAACAACCTTTTCCATTTCTTCTCCACTGTGCGTGAGAGAACCATGAAAGAATAGCCATTTCTCCACCAATTCTTCCTCAACAATCGACCACCGTCACCTCTTCTTCCTTAACAATCGACCACCACCGTTGCTTCTTCCTCAACAATCGAACCCCCTCACATCGTCATTACCAGTCACGATTTTGGGCATAAATTCATCAAGGTGCGCCCATAAATTCATCAAGTTTTGGGCAAAATTAGGGTTGACCCATGGCTGGACAAGGTGCGCCAGGTGAAGAGGAGTTCAACGCACGTGGTCTGCGACCATAGGTCCACCGGATGGCGCCAAAATCTACAAAATTTGAATTCTGCAAATCAGGCTTCGCGACGACCAATATGTCTGGGTTTAATTCGATTGTTGGATTGTTGTTTGTGGTCAATTGGGGCCATGGTTGGGGTCAGTTTGTGGTGGGCAATCGATCGGTGGTGGGCTCCGATCAATTTGGGGGCCGGTGGTGGAGTTTCCGACAATTTTCAGATTTTTAGGTAGGCTACTTTGTGGATGGATTCCGGGAAAATTCAGTGGAGTTATGGGAAGATGTTGGTTGATAATTGAAGAAGAGGTTAAAGGCTTTCTGAGGGTACCAATATCTGGTAGTCTTGGTGGCCAACATCGTCGAAAATTTGATACATGATGGTGACGGGTGAAGAGTGGATTTGGTGGTGGAGATGGGAATTGAAACAGGCTTGGGCTTTGGCAGGATAGTGAACAAGTTTTCGAGTTTTATGTTTTGGAAAACATTTTTTCAAAATGACAAAAAGAACATGCTTTCAACAATTTCAATAACAACACTCAAAACACAAAATTCAAAATGAAACTCAAAAATCAAAACACAAAATGGAAATACAAAGAGAACAGCCCCTAATCTTTTGTCCCTTATTACCTCTTACCATCTAGGCTTTGCAAAGTCCATGTTCTATGAGAATATCTTGCACAACGTTTTACCAAATATTAAAATTGTTTTTTCTATCAAGACGCTTCACCTCAAACTTTGAACTTGCCATAATCTTCACAGCTATGCCCCAGAGTTTGAATCTTTACCTTTGATGCCACTTAGGGAAAAATCCCACCAAATGCAGCTATTAAAAAATAATAATAATAAAATAAATCCAAAAATTGAGATGAAACGAGAAAATGCAATTTTAACGTGGTTCAACAAACCTTTAAAGATCACTGGAGCAGAATTTATTACTTGAAAAAAATCTCACAATACAATATTTTTCTCACTCCCACGACTTTTTTTTTACCCAAAACTAGAACGTCTTATATGTATCATGGACAACCCAAAGACCTTTTTCTAGTTTTTTCCCCACTTTCCTCTCTTGTACAAACACCTCTGATGTGTGAAAAGAAAATACGCATCTCGATTATTGTGTCCACAGGCATGACGTGTTTAACTAAAAAAACTAATAAAAACCCAAATCAAAACTAAGAAGGACCCGCTCGGTACACATTAATATAAAAATAAAAATAAAAAATATAGTCTTTATAGGTCTCAAACAAGAGATAGAAAATCAAATACGGTGGTTTGATGTGATGGATAACAGTCATATTTTTCATTTTAATTGACAAATAATAGGAAACAAATGGGGGCTAATTAATTTTATCCATATTTTTTAAACCGACGATGGGAAAGGTAGTAGCCCATTTGAACTTTTGTATAGGGTTGGACATGATCCGGTTCGGTTAAATTTTAACAAGAACCGAATCGGACCTTGAAATTTTTGGGTATTTAGTAAGTGGAATAGTCGGGTTCAAATTTAATTATTGAACGTTCGGATTCAGTTCCATTCGATTCAGTTCGGTTCGATTCAATTCTCAAATTTCGTATTATAATTAATTATTTTAATATTTACAAAACTATATTAATTCAACTAGCGATATGTTCAATCTTAGCTCTTACAAAATAACTTAGTTCAATTTTATGTATCTTTTGCTTTTCTCTTTGCTAAGTTCTTCATAGATTTGATTGTTAAAATCATAGAAAGATGAAGATAGCGAGCTTAAAATAATTAAGAAACGTGTTGTGTCAAGTTTCAATTTGATTCTCTAAAACGGTAGAAACGGTACTACGGTAGAGTAATAGATTTTAATAAAACTTAGATCAATTTGATTAATTTAGCTTTGAACTGAAAATTAGAAATAGGAAAGTCATATTTTTGGGTTTGAGTTAGATTAATTAGTCAGCAAATTTATTTAGAAAAAAATAAAATAATTTGGTTTATTTAAAATAAATTAATTAAAAAAATTAGAGATATTCGGTTCTTGATCTAGAACCGAAAACTGAACCAAATCCATCGGTTCTTGATTTAGATGCCTATTTGGGTATTTAACTTAAGAAGATCTATTTGATTCAATTCGATTCGAGAATTTTGTCCAACCTTACTTTCGTAGGTAAAATTTTTTTGTGGAAATTTTTTTTTTTAGATGTATCAATTAAATGGAATTACTTTGTTTCTCTGCCCCTGCATGGGACCTACCTCATTCAGCTGGAAGTTGGAAATCAATTTCGACACGATCGACTATTAGGTTCTTTGATTTGTTCAGAAAAACGTACGAGAAAGTATTCAGGCATTGAAGTGGGTGAAGTGGTTGGGTAAGGACCGACACCACCATCACTGCTTTCCTCAAAAAAGAGGACAACAACTCACAGAGTTGGAATTCATTTCAATAAACTTGACACATTGAAGCTTAAAATCTTCTTACCTAATAGAATAGGGTCAACCTCTCCTTGTCTCTGAGGTGAAATCATCTGTTTAATCACTTCTCTTTGTTTATCGTTTACATTTTCTCAATTTTTTAATCATAAAATTTATCGACTTTTATTAAAATCTTTAGAAAAATCACATTGACAATATATACACAGTTTAAGTTGACTAATTACAACGTGAAAATTGTACTCAAAGTCGTTTTGTCAATTGCATTAGGATTCATATAGTATTGCATACTAAATTCCTGTTCAGTGGGAATTAAATCACATTTTTAATAAATTTTAATAAAAGTTAATGAGCTACGTGGTTGAAAAATTGTGGATCTCATAAATTGTGTAATTATAATTAGTTGTTGACTTTAACTTAAGACTAAGATCTGGATTTTTGTTTTTATCAATAAGGAGATAATTTTTTTTTCCAATTAAAACTCACGGTTATGTTAGGATTTTAATTAAAGAAAAATGCTACTTGTAGATAATGATTTACGTATAGATGAGGTATCAAAAAGAAGGTAATTAAGGATTTTTTTTATTTGATTAAAGAAATTTCGACCTATTCATATCTATCTACATCATGTGTATGTAAATCATTATATATATGTAGCACAAATGTTAATTAAATTACTACTTTGACTCCTACTCTTAATTCTACTAATTTGGGCAAACCCAACCATAGTGATTCAAGATTTGAATAAGTGATAGGATATGTGTTGCAAAGAACAAAGTGAAGAAATATGAAATTGAGTAACTCTTGAACTGTATAACAATATATCGTTTTTTAATCAAAATGCATAAATGAAAATTTTAATTATTTCTTATAACAAACATCCACTCACTAAATTCACTATATAGTAAGAATATAACGAATTATAGCCTGCGTGACTCGTTTTGATAGCGCATTTAGTCACTTTTTTTGAAGACATTCTCATTTTTGAATAGCCATATTTGTCACAAAGCTGAAAGGTTTGACTTATCTCTATGTTATTAGATTGCTGTGAATATTATTATGGCAAAGTCCCCGATTAATTTCACATATTGTGCTTGGGAATATCGTGAACTCATATCACACTCAGCCTTGATGATAGGCGTGATACATGGCAATCATCCATTGCAAGCTCATGTACATGGGCGGATCTAGAAACGGGCTGCGCCATGTTACAATCTGTCCCTTCAGCCCAAATGCCCATTAAAAAAAAAAATTTAAGTATTTTTTTTATGTGCAATATATATATATATATATTGCACATTGAAAAGACATAATAATTTTTAAGAAAATGCTAAAAGCTCTTCCAGTAGATCAGGCCCCAAGTCCACAAGAACCACCATTTCATCTTCTTCACCAGCTCGTTTCTTTATCAATTTACCTCTGCGTTTGTGCGTCTCTTTTAGGGTTTCAGCTGGTGATGAACCGTACTTGCACCTATAATTCATCTTTAATAGTGATTCTCTCACAATTTCAATGGGAAAATTTGTTGAAGCCAACGAACCGCGCATCGAATATGCAGCTTGATCATACACCAATGCAGCTTCTTCAGCAGTGTTAAATGTTCCAAGCCAAACCCTTATTCCATTTCTGGTTGAATCCCTTATCTCTGCTGCATACTTTCCCCATGGCCGCTTTCGAACTCCGATATATCGTTTTTCTTTTTTGGCCTCAACATGGTCCTTTAAGGAATCCATATATCTTCAATGCAATATGAAAATTATGAGGAGAAGGACGAGAATAATAAGGTTATGTTCTGTAAGGAAAGCAGAGATTCTTAAACAACGAGGATGACTTGGCATCATCGCTATTACTCTTCATAGATTTTTTTTTTTCCTAAGAGAACTTGGGCACATGTTTGGTATATTATTATGCTAAACTGTTGAAATAGTATTATTTATTTAAAATGTTATCTTCTCTGTCCCATTCATTGGTACTTCTCAGTCAAAGTTATAACATGCACATAAATTTCATTTATAGATTCAATGAGACCTAGTTTTAAGATCTATACTCAAACTTTGGGAAATAATTAGTACATATTTATTTAAATATACTAGAACTCATACAACTATAGATAAATCATAAATGCAACACATTCTTTTCTTATTCTTAGCACACGTTTGGTACAGATTATTTAAAACTCGTTCAAACACTTTTTCAATTTTGCATTCTCTCAATAATGTAATTTTTCCGTGGATCATAACTTTTTCCTATTATTTGACCACACATTTTTAAAAAAGTCACTTTTATTTTTCAAAATTTATTCTCAAAAAATCTACATTGAATCGACCTTTACTCACATCGCCAAACGTGTTTACATGTTTAATTTTCATTTATGACAACCGTTATAACTAGGGAAATTGCACAATCAGTCTCATTAGTAAGTGAGAATGAAATATTATAGTTTTCAACTTCGTTATTGTCCCATACAGCAAAAAAACAGTGCAATTTCCCGTTAAAATGCAGTTGCTCCCATGTCTATTTTGACGAGAAAATGTAATAAAATGGGTAAAAAGAAATAAACATCATTCACCTCGCTCCTCCCCTTCGAATAATCTACTTAAGTAAGAGTGCCTAACGATATTTACAGCTCTAAAATCATAGTTGTTATGAGGATGGTTGGCTCTACTTTTAAGCACAGTATTTATATACAATTAATGAAGAAGTACCCAAGGAAACTTATTTTTGAGCTTAAGATCTGGGGTTTTTCAACGTCACACCCGCAAACTAACGAATTTTTAATTTGCTATATGTTTAAAAAATTTGCATCAACCTAAAAATTTGCATCAACCTCGATTTTCTATCCACATTTATGAATTTTTAACCTAAATCAGTTAAGAACTCAGAAAACTCTATTTCTTAGATGGATAGAGCACGTGAGATTTGGCCCTGTCCTTTGTCTTCTTCCGTCGGCAGATGCCACTTGAGTTACTTTTTTTGGGATGAATTCAAAACTAAGGACACACATTGTAATATATTGCGTAAATTTTCTGGTTTTATTTTGATGCTTTCTGTTTTAGTGTGCAAAAGTGTTGATGATTCTGGATACATCTGTATATAGTCGATTTACTTGGGTTATTATGATAGAATAACATAATTGTTTTCGGCAAACTCAAACATGTGTTGCTGGTTTCCATACATTAATGGCACTCAGATTATTTCCATACACTTTACGGGATGCTACAACAGAGTGGCTCGACTCCTATCCAGGCAACAAGCGTGGAATAATCTAGCTTGGAATTTCAACAAATACTTCCCGCCCAAGAAGATTGCTGAACTGAGAGAGGAGAATCCAAACTTTTTCCTTATTTTAGAACTACACATTCTCCTTCAAATCACTATTTCAAAATGTATTTTTTTTTATAAACAATGGGTATCAAAGAGTGCGCAAAATGGTTTTTGAAAGTAGCTACTTGTTCAACACAGATAGAAATTGAAGAGCATAAGTTCACTCAACACTCAAACTCACGAGAGAGCAGTGGAGAAAATATATGTGATTTTATTATTACTTCAACTTTACTTGTTTTCAAATGGTTAGATTACGAGTATATATAAGATTTTTCCAACATGAACCTAGTCTAGTACATGTATCGATATTTATTGCATACTTCAATTTCACCTAAGTACATGATTAATACAAACGGACATACATGTACTCTCTTTAATTCATGCATTAGAACATTCTAGCACTAATCTAGATAGTTATGGATTAGTTTAGAAATGAATCCAGTTTATTAATTTAATGCCCTCTTTTAGACTTGATTCATTACACCAAGGGACATATGCAACTTTCGAAAAATGTCAATCTTTAAAGGTTTGGTGAAAATATTCGCAACTTGATCATGAGACTTTAAAAACTCAAGCTCCACATCTTTATTCAGTATGCACTCTTGTATAAAATGATACCTCTTATTAATGCATTTACTCCTTTCATGAAACATGGGGATCTTGGCCAATGCGAGAGCGGACTTATTATCAACAAACATCTCTATTGGGCCTTTTGTGGTTGGTGAAGTTCCCTCATCAAACTTCTAAGCCAAATTACATGAAAATCATAAGAAGTAGCTAAGACGTACTCCACTTCATATGTAGAAAGAGCCACAATAGGTTGCTTCTTAAAATTTCAAGTTGTAGAGTGTATATTGATTACCAAAGATAACCCATGCTCAGTTTATACCCACTTCCAACATCACAAAGCCGACAACTACAAACCCAAGACAATACCAAGTTCACTTCCGGTTGCCAATGAGATATATCACTTAGGAGACCACAAAGATGCAAGAAATCTCATAGAATATCACCACTAAGGTGATAGACACAAAGAGGTAGAGAAAGTGGAAAAAGAGAACACAAAGAATCGACCAAGAAAGAGAGGCAGCAAACGGGTCTCTCACTTTGAGAGAAAGAGACCAATTTATCTTGTAATCAAGTAGCCCAAATAAGGTAAGTATAGGTAGGTTAAATAATGGGTCAAGTTTAGGGCCCAGGAGATAATTAAATAGGCTCACAAGTCATTCTCTCAATTAATGACCATCAAAGGAAGTGTATTAGGCCACGAGCAACACTAAATTATTTAGGTTGCTTTGAGTGGCCCAATTAACCTTCGGGTCGTATCGTCTTGAATGTGGTGTTGGATTCTCATTCAGTCATTTGGGTAAGCCGATTGAAAAATTAAATCGGGTAACATCATAGCCCAGGGGAGGTTGTTTGACAACAAATTGCCTAATAACCTCCAACTTGGTGTCAAAAGACCTGCAAAAAGAAAACGTCTTCCATTAGTGACACCTTTAATAGAAAATCGATAAAATTGGAAATCATTTACATGTACCAATGTTTAGAAGATTCTTGCAACTTTTAAACTTTACTAGTGGTAGCACTTTTGTTCCCATATCTGAAGGGTTGTATTGTGTGTAAACCTTTTCAAGTCTTATCACCTCTTGAGATACTATATCTCTAATAAAGTGTAGTCTAACATCAACGTGTTTTGTGCGTTCGTGAAAAACAGGATTCTTACATAAATGTGTAGACGACTGACTATCAGAATACACAATCACATAATCATTCAAGACACATAATTCATGAAGTAAACCTCTAAGTCATAGAGCCTTTTTAATAGCTTCAGTAGTAGCAATATACTTAGATTCAGTGGTGGATAGTGCAACAATGTGTTGTAACTGTGATTTTCAACTAACACATGAATTTGATAGGGTAAACACGTAAGAGGAAGTCGATTTCCTACCATCCCTATCTCCCACATAATCAGCATCTACAAAGCCCTTCAATTTCACACCTTCCTTATTAGTACTAAACTTTATATCTACATCACCCGTACCCTTAAGTACCTTAATAATCACTTTAATGCTTCCCAATGTTCAGGACCTGAATTAGCCATGTACCTACTAAGAGTACAAATCAGGTCTAGTGCAAACCATCAAATACATTATAGAACCAATCACACTAGAATATGAGACTCTAGTCATGTATTCTATTTCACGTTCGTTGCAAGGAGATTGTTCTTTAGATAAAACAAAATGGCTAGCAAGAGTTAATGTGACAGGTTTGCAATCACTCATATTAAATTTCTTCAATACTTTAGATATGTATGGAGACTGATGCTAGAACAAAATGAAATTTGACCTATCTCTTTCTATTTTTATGCCTAGAATTCTCTTAGCCTTACCTAAGTCTTTCATGTCAAATTCATCACTTAATTTTGCTTTTATATTATTTATCCACTTAGAAGAAAACCCAATCAAGAGTATGTCGTACACATAGAGCAACAAAAATAAATAATTATTATTAGTCTCGTTGTGTTGAAAATACAAACAGTGATCAAATTTGCTTTTTTGGAACCTTATAGTGAGTACAAAGGAATCAAACCTCTTGTACCACTGTCTAGGTGATTGTCTTAAGCCATACAGGAATCTTTTTAGAAAACACATGTAATCAGGTTTTAACTTGTCCTTAAAACCTTTGCGTTGGCTCATGAAGATTTGTTCGTTAAGCTCACCATGTAAAAGGACAATTTTTACATCAAGCTGATCAAGTTCCCAGTTAAAATGTGCAACCAAAGCAAGTATGACCTTAATAGTAGTGTACTTAACAACGAGTGAGAAAGTCTCATTATAATCAACGACCTCCTTTTGTGTGTAACCCTTAGCCACTAACTTAGCCTTAAACCTTAAGGGTTCGAGCTACTAGTACCTTTCTTAACCTTAAAAACCCATTTGCAATTGATAATCGATTTGTTCTTAGGCCTAGGTACTAGCTCCCAAGTCTGATTCTTTTCTAGAGAATTCATTTCTTCTTTCATCGCCTTAAGTCACTTCTTAGATTGATCACTAACTATCGCCTCTTCAAAGGTTTTTGGCTCTTTATCAGCTAGTTCTTCGTAACTAGCATGGGCAAAGGCTAACTTAGACTCAAAACCAAACCTTCTAGGTTCTCTTGCTGGTCTTCTCTCTCTATCCCTAGCTAGATTATAATTAGTTAAGGGATTTTCTTCCTCAGGGTGTTCCTCTATCACTATTTCGTTATCATTCTCCACTTCAGGTTCCTGAACCTGAATCTCCATCTCATTTGGAGTAGTAGGGGCTGGTGTACTAAGTTTTCATAACTCCACCTTAAATCGATCTCTCTCATAACCTGGTTCAGTTTCACTCACAGGTTCGATTTCCCCTTTAATACATGACATCTCATTCTCGTTAAATGTGACATCCCTACTCACGATGATCTTAACCCTTTTTTGACTTCTATCCCATAATCTGTATCCCT